TGGTCTAGCAGTATGTTCTCACAGTGTGTAGACCCTCTAAGGAGAGTGGGAGACGGTTTCTCTTTGGTTGGGGAAGAACTGTGTCCCTTCACCTGACTCCCAGGCACGGCCCTCTGAGCCTCAGCTCCAGTTCCTTGTCTCTGAAATGGGGAGGTCTGCTCTAGCTAACTCCCATAAGGTTTGTGAGTGTCAAAAAGCTATAAACAGTGAGATTGGGTTAATCTTGTCGGTGTCGCAAGTAACAAAATTGTGCATTTGGTCTTCATCTCGGTAATCAGATGATTCTGTGCCTCTTGTCCCCTGCCAGTGGGGACAGGATTAGACCTGTAAAAATCTGGAATTCCGTTTCAGCTGCTTATATAAAACCCCCTTTTTTTTTTTTTAAAGTATGAAACATGGGACATCTACCATGACTTGTCCAAGTCCATTTGTGTTTTGAATAAGGAAATAAATGTGTTGCGCTTAAAGGTTGGGTTGACATTTTGATGCCCTTGGGGTTTGCCTAACCTTCAAGCTTCTGGCCCTGCTGCAGAGGCTTTTTGGCTTCAGTAAAATAGCTTTGCACATGAGACTGTCCCCACAGTTTCTGTGCTCTGCATTTCTAGAATTTGGATGTCTGTTTGTCAAGGTTCAGATGTAGTCACAGCAGTCTTGGGCTGAGAGCCTTCAGAAAGCCATCCTTGCGCATGTTTACGGTGCTGCTGTTCACTAAATCAACCTGTGATGACGTTAAAATCTACCCTAGTCAGGCCTAAGATTCTTCAGTAAGTATTCATGTGTCTCCTGTTTAGTGCAAGGTATGATGGGAGGATTTTATTTTCAACCGAGCAACAGTTTAAAGTCCTAAACATAAGGACTGTATTTGAAATGCTTTAGGGTCAATCAATGTGACGTTTTCTGTTTAGGGAAGTAACTGAGATTGGGTTAATCTGGGTGGTGAGGTGATTGGATTCGCCTTGCAGGATATGCTGTTAATGGTACAAAACCAAATTGGGCCTGGCAGTGCAAAAGGGTGTACCTGAAGACCTTACATGTCATTTTTTGCTTTTCTCTTCCTGTACCTTCTAACCTGTAAAAGTCCATGTTTTAGAAAATGCCTCATATTTAGTGTGTTCTTGGTTGGTTCTGTTGTTTCAGACTCAGAATTTCTGAGGTGAAATAATTGGTCAATTAGGAAGACATTTTTTTTTAGTTGTGTAAATTTTAAAAGAGCTTCACGACTTACATAACTGTCTTTCATCTAAACCAGTGAATAATTGCATTTTCCAACTTTGTTCAAATCTGTGATTGAAGCATCAGGCCCTCCTTTGGGGGGCCTGGCTGGCTCAAGTTCGTAGAGCATACAGCTCTTGATCTCAAGGTTGTGAGTTCAGGCCCCATGTTGGCTGTGGAGCCTACTTCAAAAAAGAAAAAAAAAATCAGTCCCTTGCAGATCTGATTTTTGGGATTTCCTTGTGTTCTCAATCAGAACAAACCAAAATTTAGCTTTCTTCCCTGAATTGCCATTTTTTTTTTTTTTTAAATAACCGCTTCTGGTGGCCCCCTCCCTTTGGCCCTTGAGTTTTGTATCCAGTTTATGGAGACTTTTTTGGTGTCTGGTTTGCCAGGTGTACATTTACACGACTACTTCATCTTGGTTTGCGCTGTGCAGTCCTCTTTGCACTTGTTTTTTGTACTCCTTTTGCACTTCCAACTTTTCCCCCCTCTGTACTTCCAATTCTGGGCCTGCTTCCATTTGGTTCTTGAAAAATAAAATTTCCTCGCTCTGTTTGGAAACCCCCTTCTCAAGTTATGAGCTTGAGTATAATCATTCTTTTAGGTAGGGTGGGTTTGTAGAAACCTGGTTGCTTCTAGGTACACACGTATGTTTGGTGCTGTGGCATGGGACCAGTTTTCGCGCAAAGACGTGATTTCTCTGAAAATGCTTCCGGTGCTTTCAGAATCTCTTCTTTTTAGATCCGGCTTTCGCAAGGTCATCGTGAGATTAGCTTCAGTGGAGTCTTTAAGAGATGGAAAGTGCTGTAGTATCCTTCTAAATGCTGTTTATCTTTAAAATGAATTTCACGCTTGCTTTGTTTCTGATGAAAGGAGAAATCAGAAGCTGTTCGTTCACATTGTAACTTGGTGTTCTAGTATGAGATACTAGAGAAATTACTTCGTTCCCAAGCTGCTTTCTCTATCTTTAAAATAAGAATAATCTTCTCAAAGTTGTGATGGAGTTTACTTTTTTTAAAAAAATTTTTAAATATTTTTATTTATTTTTGAGACAGAGACAGAGTGCGAGCAGGGGA